AATTTAGCTTTTAAATATAAGCATTTATAAATACATGTATATATTGGAACGGATTTCTGATAAATCGTCTACCTTGTATCTTACTCTTGAGCTCGATCACTGGATTTTTAAATAAAAGTCCCAATTTAATAACCATACACTTATCTCTAATTCTAATTCCAACACTTAACACTTATTACTCGTTATTCGAGCTTACAACTTCTTGTTTGAGTCTCAATTGCTCTTAACATTCCAACATTTCCACTGTCTAGTTGCTTTTGGCAATTTATCGTGGGTTCCATTTTCCGCACATTTGATATGTCAGTACTGTTAATTTACGTTTGCATTTTTAAATTCAGAACTATCCACTGATTGGAGAAAGACGTACGCAGAGCTATTGAGAGGAGGAGATGGCATCAAGTGAAAATTTATTTTTATATTTCATATTTTATTATATTTTTTGTTGCATTCCTTTTTATATTTAAGTATATTATTATAGCTAATTTTGATTAAAAGTTTGAAATTTATTAAAGAAATAAAAATTATATTATCTACTGCGCAAAAGAATTTTTCACTTCTGATAGCGTTTCAGTCATAACTGACAATTTTCAGCTATGACGGTATAGATATATAGTGAATCAATTCCGAATACCCATGTGTTAAAGAGAGATGCAAACTCACACACATACGTTTGTTACCATCAGTTTTTGCACAATGCTCTTAATAAAATGATAGAAACTTTGACAAAATTTTTTCAGCGATGACTGTCATATTACCCATCAGATGACCGTCACTGTTCTTGTAGGGTACATACGAAATGTAAACAAATAGATGTGTGAAGTGTCAATGAAAACTCATCGAAAACACACATGTCGGTCTGAACGATTTGTTTCACAATCACAAATGTGTTTTCAAGAGGATTTCAATTCGGTGCGAACATAGTATATCTATTAAACTTCGCATAAAGCGTTGACGTCCTGCACGATGCCCGCGCTGATACAATTTTTTCAGCTATAATTGTCATATTACCGGTCAGATGACTGTCACTGTTGTAGGGACTTTAGTGGCAGAATTTTTGAGATAACCCGTACCAAGTGGAACATGTTTGCATGTGTATTAGTGAAAAATAGCTGAAGTTTGCATCGTGCAGGACGTCAACGCTTTATGCGAAGTTTAATAGATATACTATGTTCGCACCGAATTGAAATCCTCTTGAAAACACCATTTGTGTATTGTGGAAACAAACTCGTTCAGACCGACAATGTGTGTTTTCGATGAGTTTTCATTGACACTTCACACATCTATTTGTTTACATTTCGTATGTACCCTACAAGAACAGTGATGGTCATCTGATGGGTAATATGACAGCCATCGCTGAAAAAATTTTGTCAAAGTTTCTATCATTTTATTAAGAGCCTTGTGCAAAAACTGATGTAAACAAACACATGTGTGTGAGTTTGCATCTCTCTTTAACACATGGGTATTCGGAATTGATTCACTATATATCTATACCGTCATAGCTGAAAATTGTCAGTTATGACTGAAACGCTATCAGAAGTGAAAAATTCTTTTGCGCAGTAGATAATATAATTTTTATTTCTTTAATAAATTTCAAACTTTTAAGCAAAATTAGCTATAATAATATACTTAAATATAAAAAGGAATGCAACAAAATATATAATAAAATATGAAATATAAAAATAAATTTTCACTTGATGCCATCTCCTCCTCTCAATAGCTCTGCATACGTCTTTCTCCAATCAGTGGATAGTTCTGAATTTAAAAATGCAAAAGTAAATTAACAGTACTGACATTTAAAATGGAGTGTATTGGTGAACCCATCAGCAGTTTCTTGTAGGGTACGTTTAGTCCAATTATGGAATGTAAACAAATTGTCAACTGACATTTAGGGCTGGCAAAATATGTCTTCTAATAATATCGATTAAACTAGAGCAGGCACCGATTATAATGAGTGGAATGTAAGTTTTCAAGGGGTTTTCAGCGAAAACTGTGTTTTCGTTTGACGGATTTTGTATGGATGAAACCACAAGTTTTCGCGTGAAAACCTCTTTTGTCTATGAAAACACGAATTTTGTGTCGGTGCGAACATCGTATAAACATTAATTACTTGTGGATATATACAATAACATGCATATTTTGACGAACACGGAAAATGGAACCGACGATAAATTGCCAAAAGCAACTAGACAGTGGAAGTGTTGGAATGTTAACAGCAATTGAGACTCAAACAAGAAGTTGTAAGCTCGAATAACGAGTAATAAGTGTTAAGTGGTTGGAATTAGAATCAGAGATAAGTATGTGGTTATTAAATTTGGACTTTTATTTAAAAATCCAGTAATCGAATTTAAGAGTAAGATACAAGCTAGACGAATTATCGAGAAATCCGTTCCTATATATACATGTATTTATAAATGCTTATATAAAAGCTAAATTAAAATAGCTAATAGTTTGTAAAAATAGAAATGAAAAATGGAACCATTATGATTAAACATGTACATTAAACAAATAAAATTTAAATTATGATTTCAAAAGTTTTATTTGAAAGGAAAAAGGTACCTAACAAATAACCCATAGAAGTGGCCGGCATAACCGATCATCCAGTTTGCTGTAACCAATGGATTACCTGTAACGAAGCTTTTTTCTGCTCCTGCTCTTCTAATTTGGTGAGGTATACTCGCTGTGTCCAGGGCTCGTTACAATAAATTTGTAAACTATGGGACTTTCTACAAATCGTGCTTTATTTATTGTAGTATATGTGTATGTATGTATGTAGTATGTTACTGCTGGCGCTCGTGTAGGCTTCGACGTTGATTCTGCGGCGTGCGTTGATGCTCGTGTGTGCTACGACGACGACGCTCGGAGGTTTCTGCCGGCGTTCGTGTATAGCCGTGAAAAAAACCGCGGACCACAAAAGACTCTGTTGGCGATCGAAAGGTAAGGGTTGAGTCGGTAGAGGATCAACTTCCTACCGGGCTCGCCCTTAACGAACGGCGTTCACAACTTAAGGCACTAAGACTAGCCAGAGGATCGACTCACTGCTGAGTCTAGTGCCGTACGTGTGTTCGCTGTTACAGTCCTGTGCTGACTGCCTGCTGATCGACCTGCTAGCTTTCCGCCAAGCCGTGGGTTGCTTGCTCGCGCGTTCCCATCATGATGCTTTAGAATGGCGTGTGTTGCTATAAGTAGCGTGGTTTTCCCGTTGCAGACCAATACTTGTTGTGTTGTTTACGTGGCGTGATTTTACCGTATCGTGTATAAATGCTTGCTATTTTTCGTTTTTCCTTTTTCTTGTGTTCTCTTACTATGTTGTACTTATTTAACAGGGTGCGTCTTCATGCGTTGTGTGGGCTAAATTCCGTATGAATATTTAGTTCTCACAAACCAGACAAATAACCTTAGAACCAGTTTTCTGTAACAAACTATTTTCAGTAACAAATGGGTAACCAACCAAATAGCCAATGAAAAGCACACTTTTAACCAACGAGAGAGGGTGGATCACGAACCTTGATGCAAAAACAAACCGTAGTAAATTTTTTTCTGTGTGGATAATCGACTTATTTTTTTTATTTGGCAGGTTATTTGGAAATGAATGCTTGGGATATCGAAAAGAGTGTTCGTAAAGTGCAGCGGTACCATGTTTTGCGGTTTGTCATTTCCGTCCAACGGGAATTCAGACGTGACTTTGGCCGCACTTCCCCGAGTAGATGGACCATTATGACGTTGGTAAACATGTCTGCCGAATCTGGAAGTATCGCATGAAGGTCGTACCATCGAGATCGTGTTCAATAAACAGAGTTTCGACTCGCAACTTATCGACGCAATTTGGAGTTAGCAAACTGTCATAATATCGGATAATTCATGGTGATCTAAACCTGTTTCCGTACCAAGTTCAAATAACAAGCCGGTTGAAGGGATAATATATATTGAGTGAATCATTTCACCCAGAACGAGTCACTGGGTGGGGCGCAGTTTCATTTAGGTGTATTGTCGGACCGTACTTATATAAAGAAAACGGTGCAAAAATAACAGTCAATGTTCGCCGACATTTAAAGATTTTGATTGAGTTTTTTTACACAGAACTGTGCCTTAGACGAACAGCTTTCAACAGCGTTTGGTTCCAGCAAGCTGGAGAAACTGTACGCATAGCCAGACAGGTTATTTCTGAGCTCCAACGAAATGTGATATTTGAGATTTGAAAACATATTAATAGCAAGAAACTCCACTTCCCGCTGATCACTTGGCTTGACTGCGCCAGACATATTTTTTATGGGGTTCTATTCAGCAGTCCACAAATTCGATAATTCAGAAAATCCCTACTTCAACCCTTCAGGCCGCAATGAAAAATTTTCTAATTAGATGTCGCATATGAGTGACTCAGAATATATGTAATGAACTGATTATACAAAAGTTATTACGGTTTGTTTTTGTAGCACGATTCGTGACGCACTGTAGTTGGCAAAGTAGGTTGTATATATGTAACAGTTGCACAAAAACAATGAGAGAGAGCGAGTCAGATAACCACACCGAAGTGTAGGGAAAGAGGAATATAAGTTCTCTTTTCCCTAGGCAAGAACAAAAGTAACCTATCGGATAACTAATGCCTCATAAGCTATCGGTAACCAGTGAGCTAACTTTTACCCGTCGTGTATGGAAGTTGTTAATAAAATAGCGGACCGAAAAAATTAGTGGTGACGTGGAATTTCTTGCTTCCCTGCGCTAAATGCGGTTGGACGAATGCGCTTGATAATTTTGCTGATAGGTATGTATGTATGTGATCACTCAGTAAGCCATCAATATTTCCTGCGTAGTAGAAGCTTCATACACCCTAACCACTGCGCGTTAAACGTTTAACTAATATGACAGTATATTGCTAGCTATATGTATTTAAAATTTTTAGACAACTTGTGAAACATTAGCAATATGCTATTTCAACGGCAATATTGATAGCAATAAACGTAATTAGACAACATCCATTGCCTACCAATACGCCCGATTGTGTTCGCCTGAATATCGACTATATCGATTAATAAGTAAAATTACTGGTTATGGTTTTCTTTAATGTGGTAAAGGTACGATATTTAACGTTGAAATTAAGATGTAATTTTATATAAAGTAAGGAGTGCAATGAATGTATGTGAAGAGCATTGTATTGGTTATGGAATGCCACATTTGAACAAGAATTAAGGGAACAGTAATATCGCATTTCACATATTAGTATAAGTTTCTGCGCTCCATCGGACATACATATTTTAAAGTTTGTAGCTAACATCTAGAAAATATTAGTAAACTAGAATGCGTTAAGAAATTCTGTATCCACTTTTATTTTACTGGCAGTTAAATGTTTAGTGAAAACTGCTTTTGTAAAATAAGGTAAATGTATAGTTTAGGTCCCCCAACTAAGGAGGCCTCAAAAATGAATATTTTATTTTAACCGTCTTATTTTGACGCGAATATTACAAATCCATGAGCGGAAAGTGAATTTTTTCAATATATCTATTTTTTTAGTGCACTTTTATTGTGATATTAGTAATTACACATACTCTGCATCGTGTAGAAAATTATCATCGAGGTTGAGATCTTTTCTCGGGTTATATAAGCGACCAGCCTTTCTACACTGGCGGCCTTCGGCAGCGCTTCAAAAAAATAGCCCTGGTCGGTCCAAAACCGGGATGTTCATAATTCAATCGCGTCAAAATCTTTTTCGCTGCTGTTTGTGCAGAAAGGAATTTGACGCAATTGAATTATGAACACCCCGGTTTTGGACCGACCAGGGTTATTTTTTTGAAGCGCGGCCGAAGGCCGCCAGTGCAGAAAAAAGTTTGACGCGATTGAATTATGAACACCCCGGTTTTTGACCGACCAGGGTTATTTTTTTTGAAGCGCGGCCGAAGGCCGCCATTGCGGAAAGGAGTTCGAGTTAAAATAATTATATTGTAATAATCGAAATCTGCCATTTAATTAATAAAGAAATATTTGTTTTTCCACCCTCCATAACTTTTTTTTAAGGGGTGACCGACGGGTAATTCCTTCGAATTCATAAAAAGGACACTTAATTGTGTCACCCCTTACAACCCCAACCCCCTGCGAAGTGGGGGTCATTAAGTACATATTTACCCTATAATTTTGTTCATTACCTTCTCTTGATAAATTATGGTATGGATTGGCCAGGGATATATTTTTGAAGCACGGCCGAAGGCCGCCAGTGCGGAAAGAAGTTTGACGCGTTTGAATTATGAACACCCCGGTGTTGGACCGACCAGGATTATTTTTTTGAAGCGCAGCCGAAGGCCGCCAGTGCAAATAAGAAATCTTAACAAAAAAAAAAGTAATGTTAAAAAGGGTATATCACTCTCTATAAACTTCAATTTTTATTAAGGATATTAATAATAACAGTGAAGATATTGAAAATTTGATATAAAAAAAATATAGCAAATCACCATCATGATCCATTTGTGAAATTATCAGATGCAATAAAACATACGTTTAAACCATAAAACCTTTTTTTTATATTTATTATCTTTTATTTGATTGGGTTTTATATTTATTTTGATTGCTTTCATTCGTTTGGATATGGCAACACTTATAATCTGATAACATGGAACCCATTTGTTATTGTTCATATTACGAAAATTGTGTAAAAATAATATGCTTATTTAAAGCAAATATTTAAATATTTTAATATTTAATATATAATATGTAATATGTAAAAACATTGTAGTGAAGTGTTAGTGTATAATAAGGGCATAATACAAAAGAAAAGTTAACCCTAAATCGAGAAATTGTAAAATAAAATTTGTGAAATTTTCAACTTAAAATGCAAATATCTCAAAAACTAGAAGTTTCCGGCGGCAATAATTCTATATATTCGTGATCTGGAGAATCTCTATCCAACTCTACTCCTCTTAACCCTGAAATCGTGGGATGCTAAACTAAAGCCGCCCCTTAATTTTTTTCCGCTGCTGAAAGGAATTCGTTGCAAAAGAACTATGAAACCCCCGTTATTGGACTGACCAGGGTAATTTTTTTGAAGCGTGGCCGAGGGCCGCCTGTGCGGAATGAAGTTTGACGCGAATGAATTATGAACACCCCGGTGTTGGAACGACCAGGGTTATTTTTTTGGAGTCGGCTTTAGTATATCGTCCCCGGCTTTCGTTGATAAAATGGGAACGGGCGGATAGAGGACATCGAGAATATATTTTATATAGACATAGTCGCGGGAAACATATAGTTTTCGAAATTTTTACGTTTAAAGATGAAAATTTCAACTATTTAAAGTACGTATTTTTTCGATTTTAAGTGAATTATACACTTATATTTTTCACTTTTATGTCTACTAACACTTCACAAACCCGTTTTTAGATATTTATTTTGTATTATATGATGCAAAAATAATTTTATTTTAATATTTAAATCATTCTTCAATTTTATTAATTTTGACAATAACAAAAGGGTTGTAAATGTCAAAAAAACCAGTGCTGCCATACTATTGCAATATTATTTTTGCAAACGAAGAAAAATAAGATAAAAATAGCTTATACCCTAAATACAGGAACCTAATTGTTGATGGGCACTAATAAATTTTTTAGTTTCCTTCACTAGATAAACCCCGGTGTTGGACTGACCAGCGTGTTTTTTTTTGAAACACGGACGAAGGCCGCCAACCCAAAAATAATTTCTGCGCGAAAAAACCTTGGTACACCCCGGCATTGATACGCGGCCTAAGTTCGCAATCGAAAAAAAAAGTTCTGCGCAAAAAAAATCTTGGTACACCCCGATGTTAGATCGACCAGGGTTATTGTTTTTAAGCGCAGCCGAAGGCCGCCAACGCAAACTCCACCTCAGTTAGGTGCAATACATGCAAATGATGGAGCCATCTTAAGACCTGTTCAAGCCTTAAGACACACAGGGAGTGGACCACAAGTTACGTGGCCCCATGCTGTCAACGCAATAATGCGACATCTGCCTCAACGGCTGTGCAACCTGCACCATGTTCGCGCACTGCACTGCCACTCCAGTCGAGTGGCCAAGATAGGACCTCCACGGCCCTAAACAGCTCACACAGACAGCATGACTCCCAGTCTGACCACCCCCCCCCCCCCCCCCCCAACCTTAATCCAGCTCCACTCCTCGTGCGAGAACCACCCAGCAACTCCTGGTTCCTCGCACAGTCTGTTCCGTGTGTCAGACCACAATACGCCGGAATGTCACATCAGTCAAGTGCAATTTTTGTACTGGCTGGTGTCACTTTCTGTCGTGTTCTGTTCTGCGCACCACACGAGAGTGGAGTGCGTCGTAGTTGCCCCATGCTACAGTCAAGTGCAATTTTTGTACTGGCTGGTGTCACTTTCTGTCGTGTTCTGGTCTGCGCACCACACGAGAGTGGAGTGCGTCGTACGTTGCCCCATGCTGTAGGAGTCTGCCCCTGCAATCACATACAGTGGCGTCGCCAATCAACACCACAGTGCGACAACCGCCCATGCGGATAGTACAGCTGCAACAACCACCACCTACACGCACCCCACTCAACCCTAAGATCACCACTGGACACCCGCGGCAAACGCGACTTTTGCAATTCAACTGCAACGGACTCCAGAGTAAGATCGAGGAGATAGTTGCATTCATGAGCCGGGAGCGCGTAACGATAGCTGCGGTCCAAGAAAGTGTGCGTAGGGACACTACCTTAGAATGTCAGGGTATAGCTGTCCGGTCAGGCGATGTCGAGCTCGAAATATTTAACATATACATCCCCCCAGTTATATGTTGCCCAACAGGATATCACCCGAACATAGATGCGCTACTTCGTGGTGAAAACCGTTTGGTGCTAGGCGACTTTAACGCGCATGACGACTTTTGGCATTCCTGCCTGTCAAACGATCGTAGGGGGATGGAGCTGGCGGAACAGATTGACGATTCGACATTCTGCACAATGAATGACGAAGCCTACACCAGAATTATGGGCACCTGTGATAGCTCGCCAGATATTACCATCGCTAGCGGTGGTCTGATAAATAGTATAACCTGGCGACCTATGCTAACTCTCGCATCAGACCATCTGCCCATAATTATCTCGATCGAGAAACCTATTGACTTTATTTCTGTGGACAACCGCACTTATGTTAACTTTAACAAAGCTAACGGCTTCACAGAATTTACTGAGAGCACCTTCAACGCACTACCCATTCCTACGGACGTCATCGTTGGCAAGCGTCAATTCCGCAAGGTGATCGCTGCTGCTACTGCTCGCTTCATACCGGCTGGAAGAATCGCGGAACTCCGCCCTAATTTCCCAGCCGAAGCAGCTGTATTACCAAACGAGCGCGACACCTACGCCATGCCGATCCCTGTGATCCCCGAATAAGGGATCTCAATTTGGAGATTCGGCAAATGGTAAATCATCATAAGCGGACAAAATGGATAGAGCACCTGAAGTCCTGCAACCTCTCCACCGGTGTGAGTAAGCCTTGGACTACTGTCAAGGCCCTGTCAAATCCGAGAAGACATGACGATCGGGTTGAAATTCAATTCGATAGTCATGCCTCCTCGGACCCGAAGAAGTGCGCGAGCTATTTCAGCCGACAATTTACACTGCACCCTTCGACTGACAAGGCCAAACGACGTGTTACCCGACGGCTGCGCAAAATGCCAAAAGACTGCGCACCACTTAGTTTCACCGATGGGGAGGTTCAGAGTGTCATCAAAAAGGCGAAATTGTCTAAATCCATTAGCCCTGACGGAATAAGCATGCTAATGCTAAAACACCTAGGCCCAACGGGAGTAAATTATCTCACCAAGCTCCTCAACCTGCCGATATCCACTCTTCAAATACCCGATGTGTGGAAAGTCGGAAGAGTGGTCCCACTACTGAAACCTGGGAAACCCGCCAACAAAGGGGAGTCTTATCGCCTGATAACTCTCCTTTCCCCAGTAGTGAAGACACTTGAGGCCTTGTTACTCCCGTCATTCACTCACCACCTGAGCCTAGCAGATCATCAGCATGGCTTCCGAAAAGTGCACAGTACCACCACAGCACTTAGCGTCATAAACGCCCAGATAGTTCATGGCCTGAACCAGAAGCCACACTGCGAGAGGAGGATCCTCGTAGCGTTGGACTTGGCAAAAGCTTTTGACACAGTCAATCACACAACGCTACTTGAGGACCTAGAACAATCAACGCTCCCTCCAGAGCTGAAGCGGTGGACTGTGAACTACCTGAGCGGTCGGCATTCATCCGTACTGTTTCGAGGTCAAAACTCTAAACTTAGGAAAATTAAACAGGGGGTTCCGCAGGGCGGTGTCCTCTTCCCACTACTGTTTAATTTTTATATTTCGAAACTCCCCCAGACACCAACGGGAATTTCAGTGACCTCGTA